TCTGATCGGTCAGATCTTTGGATTGGATAATGGGAATAGCAAATCAGAGTGATATGGCGATAGCGCGATGGGATGAAAGATATAATGGATAAAGTGATGGGCGTGCAACTTTAGAAGATAACATCTAAAGGTGACCTCTGACCTTGGCCGTCGTTATTTTGCATTCATATCGAGTTAGTATTACTATTATTATTATTGTTGTTATTATTATTAATTATTATTATTTATTATTATTATAATTATTATTAGATGTAAACGGTGTGTCAAGGTTATTTAAGAGTCGAGATCAATTGCATAGTCATTATTGGCCTGTGAATGTTTTATGTTTTGTCGAGATTTTTGGCTTTGTTTTTTAATATAGAAAGTGTGTAAGTGTAGTCATATATCTGTGTACTGAACTGTTTAATGAAGTTACTGTATTACTGTATTACTGTATAACTGTTACTGCATAACTGTATTAATTGTAAGTAAACTGTATCATTGAGGTATGGTGAGTGGATTAGTAATATGGCGGATTTGGTTTGGTGTGATCACTTCAATCCTCGTGTGTTCTGTACAGGCTGTAAGTATTGTTTTTGTTAGTATTGTTATTGTTTTACGTGATCAGATGGTGATCAGATCAGATCAGATGAGATGTTACTAGTATCGAAATGATCAGATGATTAAAATGATCAGTTTGGGATCCACAAATCACTATCAGATGTGATCAGGTGATCAGAGCACATCAATAGCTCAGTGTTGATGCGGTGATCTGATGATCCATCTATCAGGAGATCAGATTATTTTGATTATTGTTCTCGATTAATTTTGTGTTGTTTTTAAAATGAATTGAAACGTTGCAGCGATATATCTATGATCAACTGCTCAATGGCAAATCGACATTTGTTGATGAGAACGCACTGGATCGTTTTTTAATGAATATGGATCGATTGAACCTGATCCAGAGCAAGATCTTTGGGATCGATCATGTGAGTTGGTTTCGGGATCAACACTTTTGTATTAGTCACAGATGGTCAGGATCAGATCAAGAGAGGTTGATCAGATGACAAAGTGATCAGTGTGAGATCCATAAATTACGATCAAATGTGATCGGGTGATCAGAACAGATCAATAATTCAGTGTTGATGCGGTGGTGATCCATCTAGTGATCTAGTTATCAAGTGATCAGATCGGTGATTTTTAGTGATCCACTGATCTGGTGATCCGTGATCGATAGCTATCGATTGATTGATGAACACCGTTTTAGACGCCATTTGCTGATGGGCTAGTGGACGTGAGCATAGGCGAGAACGGCACCGAACTCGTGGAACACCCCGAGCGAATACCGTACCTCTTTGAGGGTGATATCGTGCTGACTGACGAACAAATGATCGCGATCGTTGCGTGAGTCTTTGATGATTTATTTGAAATCTGAATTACCCAGGTTTTTTTTAAACCTTACCCAGGTTTTTTACCTTACCCAGGTTTTTTTTACATTTTGTGGTGTTTTGATGAGATGGCGATGTTTTCAGGGAAGTTAGAGATCAACTGAAAATGAAAGAAGAGGGAGACGAGTTGAGTGGACGTCGTGCGGTGAGAACGGTATTCTCGGATTTGCGGTACAGATGGAAGTCGTTTCCGATACATTACGTATTTAGTGTTTTGTCGAATTGTTAGTTGTTTTCGTTTGTGATTTTATTTTGAGATTTGATTTGCGGGGGGGGTAGGGTATGGAATTGGAGTATTGGTATTAGAATGTTTGGATTGTGTTCGGATTGAGTTTGTTGTGGATGATTAGGGTATTGTTACATGATGGATGTGTGCTGGAGTTTGAGATTATCAGTTGTTATCAGTGATGGGATGGATTGATCTGTGATCAGTTTAATCTAAATTGATCAATAAGATAGATAAATTGATCAGTGATAAGCAAGTGATCATTTCAGTTGATCGAGATGTGATCGAGGCGAGCATCAAGCACTGGGAGGAGAGTACGTGCGTGACTTTCAAGGAAACGACGAATTACTCGCAACAGCATTCGTTGATAGAATTCATCAAAGGGTTTGGGTAAGGTTTTGTTGAGTTTTGTGATTTGAATGGTGCATTTGATCGATCGATTGATCATTTGATCATGTTGACAGATCAGTCATGATCATTTGATCAATCGATTGATCATTTGGTCACACTGACTGATCAGTTTTTTAGTGATCATTTTGAAAGACTTTATGATTTCTGATCACTCCACTTATTAGATGCTATTCGAACATTGGCCGATATCCGTACGGCGTGCAGCAGATCTCGATCGGGTTTGGATGTGAAACAGTCGGAATTGTGGCGCATGAAATTGGTGAGTGGCCTGAAATCGTGTAACCTGAAATTGTGGTACTTTTGACCTGATATCATCTATTTTTGAATCGCATTTTGAACAGTCATCCCCCCCCTCGCCCTTTCGGTGATTTCGTTGACTTGAAAAGTATTTTTTATTGTGGTTTAATTTGAATTTGAATTTCAGGTCATGCGTTAGGATTTTTTCATGAGCAGTCGAGGTACGATCGTGACGATTACGTGCGTATTTTGGGCAGAAATATTGAAAGCGGGTTCGCCAGCCAATTCAGTAAGCACTCATCGAAATACATCGAAACTTATGGAGTGCCGTATGATTTTGGCTCGGCAATGCATTATGACCAACGGGTAGGTGGATTTTAGTGTGTGTGTGCGAATTGGATAGGTATGATCTGAGATTTGATCACTTGATCATAGATCATCATATCGATCAAATTGTATCGATCGTTTGATCACAGTTGATCGTGAAAATTTGGAAGCTGAAAAAAGAGGCGATAGAGAAATGGCTAATATGAAGTGGCAGTGATCTGTAGACTTGAAATCATATTTTAATTCATTTTTTTCAGGCATTCAAAATTATTTTAATTCAAAATGAATTAATTCATTTTCAGGCATTCTCGAAGTCGAATCTGAACACGATCGAGACGGTCGATCCGAATTATCAGAATACGATTGGACAACGTAGTCGATTGTCGTTTAGCGATGTGAAGAAGATTAATGCGGCCTATTGCAGCGGTATATTTTGATGATTGTTTGGCAATTTGAGCGTTGCAATCCTATTGAGTTGGCGTTTTTTGTGCGAACTTTTGTGCTGTCCGAAAGATTGTAGCTGAAAATTTTTTAAAAATTTCAATTCAACTGCAGATTTTTCCATTTCAATTTCGATGAGCGAATTTTCAGATGTATGCGCGCAAAAATTGGCGTGTCAGTTCGGTGGCTATACGGATCCGAAAAACTGCTCCAGTTGTCGATGTACGGACGGTCTATCGGCTCCACTCTGCGCCGATCCAGTTAGAACCTCGAAAGATTGCGGTCAGCTGAAGCGACAGGCCACCGCCCGCTTTCAGGAGATTTCGACGAGCGGCTCGGGTGAATGTAACTACTTGATTACGGTACGTTTTACAGTACTTGTTTACTTCGATAGTAGTTGATTACGGTATCGAGATTACGCTATCGGTATTTCAGGCACCTTCCCGACGTGCTCAAATCCTCATCGAGTTCGTTGGCGCGCTCAGATTTCCCCGCCAGATACCGTGTCGTTTCCAGTTCGTCGAGATACGCTATGAGCACGATTTGAGCACAACAGGAGCTAGGTAAGCCTGCAGAGCCAAGTACTATCTAGCTAACTGATCTGACTGATCAATAATCAATAAGTGATTGATCAATTATCAGTGATCACTGAGAAACGGAGTAGGTAATTTCTATAATTCAGTACCTGTAAATAAACAGTACGTGTTTTGCAGATTCTGCTCAAGTCGATCCACAACAAGGGACGTGTTAAGCAAGTCCAACAATGTCCTCCTGCTTTATCGTGGCTCGAAGACGACGCATTTTACGATCAGATAC